TGTACGTGCTCGCGGAGTGGCGCGGCACTGCAGTAGTTCGACTTCGGACTGCGCATGTGCACTTGAAATGTGCAATAAATAAACTCGACGAATATTCTAACAATGTTCTTTTCTCTTATAAATATACAATTCTCGATTGTAACATTCTATGTATATTCATATAATATTCAATCCGAATATTCCAAAATTAAGAACATTTGCACTCTCTAAGAATATTCATAGAATATATTGTGTTATCTGGGATGTAACTACTTCGGGGTTGTGAAGTAACTTGTTACTTGTAATGAAGTTACAGTTACTTTTTAGCGACTCCAACTTCGTTACTTTCTCTCCATCTGTAACTGTAATTTAACTTAGTTGCATTTTTTCGATAACTAGTAACTAATTTAATAATTACTTTGTATATTTTTTAAACCTCCACAGATTGCATTAGGCCTTGCGTTTGCACATAAACGCTTTTATCGACACTTTGTAATTCAAACGCAGATTTGATACTTTGATTTTCATTGCAAGAAAGTAACTGCAAAGTAACGATTCGTTACTTTTTAGAATTGGTAACTTGTGACTGTAACTAGTTACATTTTTTGCGAAAAACTGTAACTAGATACTTTTATAAAGTAACTTCCAACCCTGAACTAGTTACAGTTACAAGTTACCAATTCTGAAAAGTAACGCGTTACAGTTACTCAAAAAGCAACGAATCGTTACTTTCTTGCAATGAAATTAAAAATATCAAATCTACATTTGAATTGTAAAATGTCGATAAAAGCGTTTATACGCAAGCGCAAGATCCAATGTGATCTGTAGAGGTTAAAAAATATATCAAGTAACTATTAGTTACTAGTTATCGAAGAAATGTATCTGAGTCAAGTTACAGCAGAGAGAAACCTGAGAGCGGCCACGCCGGCGTTTTACTTGATACCGTTTTGCGCGCTCTTACGCCCATTTTTACTTTTGGAACTATTTTATTACGCATTTTCTGACTCTGCCGATAAAATGTCCACTTGGTGCGTATCCGTGCTAAGCATTCTGACATCTAATTTATAAAATTTACATTGTCTACATGAGAAAAGTTGACGCAAGTATCATGCAGATAATTTGTGCTAATGTAATTTTGAATTTCACAGCACGATCCTGAAAAAATAGGCGTAGCACAGACACGCACAAAGTGGAGACTTTATCGGCAGTGTCAGATGTATAGCAAAATAGTTTCAAAAGTAAAAATGGGCGTAAAGGCGCGCGAAACAGTCTCTTGAAACGGTATCGAGTAAAACGCCGGCGTGGTCGCTCTAAGGTTTCTCTCTGGTTACAGTTACAGATGGAGAGAAAGTAACAAAGTTAGAGTTACAAAAAAAAAGTAACTGTAACTTCGTTGCAAGTAACGAGTTACTTCCAAACCCTGTATATGTCGATCCTTTTCCTTTCTGGGTGTAAGAAAAGGGACCGACAGATAGTTCCGACTTTTAACGACTCACCGTAGACCGGACTCAAAGTCTGGTCTACGTGTTCTTTGCGTCTAGAAACATTTTGTATATCGTAGTCGACAAGTACATTGAAAAGATTCGCGCAAGTCGATAAATTGTATGTTAAACATTGTACAATCGTACATTGTCGACAAAGTTTTTAAGCGTTTCGATTTGTTTATATAAAATGGAATGTTTCTTGCGGAGAGCGCATTGTGAATCAAGCTTTAAGCCGGTGTTGGAAAGTGTCAACGCACAAAGAAGTGTCGTAGACTATGTCGCATCCCTCGCGAGGCGACACACGACAATTATTTGTACGCCGACTTGGGCCTGGTCTACAATGAGTCGTTAGTCAGAAGTCGGAACTTATGTGTCGATCCTTTTTCTTTCAGGGTGAAAGAAAAAAGACCGACATACCGTTCTGACTAACGACTCACTGTAGGCCGGGTCTTCCGACGCAGACTTACGTCTTCCGACGTAATCGTAAACAGTTGCGACAATCTTTCTCCTCAGGCCCTCAAGCTTATTCTACAATGGACGCAAGACATTAAGCCGTAACACAAAAATCAAACAATCATAGTCAAATATGAGAAGAATGATGGACTGTCATTGGCCGATTTTTCACGTTGCGGCTTAGCGTCCACCGTAGAATAATCTTTAGCGGGACTCCGACCGGTGTCTCGATCTCCCGATCCTTCCAGAGATGGAACAACCGAATCAATGAATTTGTAAATAAACGAGACACGTGTCTGAAGATGTTCAATTCGTTGGGTCTTACTTTACGATTAAAATCTCGCGCTGCATCAGTTGCTTCTATCTCGGGAAGTAGAGTCCATTTGCAGGGTTGGGAAGTAACTCGTTACTTGTAACGAAGTTACAGTTACTTCTTTTTGGTAACTCTAACTTAACTTCGTTACTTTCTCTACATCTGTAACTGTAACTTAACTCAGTTATATTTTTTCGATAACTAGTAACTAATTTAATAGTTACATTAATAGTTACTTATATATATTTTCAACCTCCACAGATCGTATTAGGCCTTGCATTTGCACATAAACGCCTTTACCGCCGCTTTACAAATCAAATGCAGATTCGATATTTTTATTGCAAGGGAATAACTGCAAAGTAACGATTCGTTACTTTTCGAGTAACTGTAACGCGTTACTTTTCAGAATTGGTAACTTGTAACTGTAACTAGTTACATTGTTAGCGAAAAAACTGTAACTGTAACTAGTTACTTTTATAAAGTAACTTCCCAGATAACAATTCTTGCGCGCAAATTTTGCTTGTCTTACGCATGCAAATTTGTATGCGATTTGCCCGAGTTTTGTCTGTAAGATATGTTCAGTCTGTGCTTTTGCACGCAAGTGGCTGGCTCGTGTATCAACGTATAATTTTGCGCGCAAATATCTATCGCGTACAAAATGGCTCAACAACGCAAGCAAAATTCCATCCAAGTGCGTCGTCGTAATGCCAGATGTTTGCGCGCAAAATGTTTTCTGGGTTTCCCAACCTTGTCCATTTGTACTTTAGTAGACTTCATTATTAACGTGCGTGCGTGGGAGACGAATGAATATCGTGCGGGAGCAAATTCTGCAAGGATTAGCATTATAAACCCTTCAAACAAGCGATGTGATGTAAGAAAGCTTGGAGCGGTGAAGTTCTTCCCTCAGTGGACTAGGAAGCTTTATTTCATTCAGTTTTATTGTTCAATGTTCTCAGGCCGAGGCTAGTCAGTCTTTAGAAACACATGTCGGAAATACAAACTTTATGTGCGAATACATGTATAAATTTAAAATTTGTACGGCAAATTAAACAATACGTAAACACATCATGCCTCATGTAGCTAATAGTAAAACAAATTGTAATTGATTTTATTTTATTTCCAATTCAAACTAAAAAAAAATATCACTCGATCTATTATTTTCAATGTGAGAATATGCATATCGTAATAAAAAATCTTCCTATTCGTCTACATTAAAGCTTAAATTCTTAGTTAATCCTATGAGGTATAAAATTCATTAAATTTACAGAGCATAACCACTAAATGTTGCACACAATTGTTTTACACAGAGAAAATTTTGTACTTTTCTTTATCTAAAAGGTATATAGAATGTTACCAATCTTTATTTAATTGCAAATCGAAGAGGACAATAAAAACCAACATATAATATTGGAATGTAACAATCTCGTGGAATATAATGTTGGGTGAAGTACACTGCACGGGCAGTGTTCAGTCTGTTCTTATTATATTTAAGATAAGTATAGTCTTTAAGTATAATCTTAATGTGTTGTAAACCAATCACAGAGCCGTTATCGGCGATTTTAAGCCGGTACTCAAGATGATCTTAAAATAAGAACGAACTATGAATATCTACCCACGCTGGTAATTACATTGAAAATCACTCCGCGAGTAATGTAGGGTTAAACAAATAACTTTCTTGTTCACGAGATTAGAAGTAATAGATGGAAAGGAGGTCAAGAGAATGACTGAAAAATTCATGCTAAAAGCAAATAAGGATGCTGTTCAGAAAATTACACAAGAGCAATTTAGTAGTCTAATAAAGGAATAGCATATAGACGGGTTACTTCAAGAGTATTAACAATAGTCCTATTCTTTATATGTATAAAATCTGTACATTTCGTAACAGACTAGATCGCAGACAACAGTTTTCTATAATTTTTGTTCTAAGGAATACCCTTACGACACAATTGTACTATTACCTTCTTAACCGATAGATAATTATGTATTTATATGTATATACATATACATACACAATTATATATATTATATATATTGCCTAGCGCCCTACATACAAATATCTTTTAGGAGCTGAAATAATTTTAATTGACTGTGACTAAATAAAAATGCATTACTGTGAAATAATACTAAAGTTCTTATTTTCACCTTGTAAAAAATACTTTGGCAGTAATTGATCGTCACAATGTACAAGATCCCTATGTAAAAATGTGGACTAATCCGTAATAAGTTTTCTTATATCGAAATGTATTCAACTGTGCAAATGTAAGTTTTGAAAATTATACCTAAGCCATTTACTTAAATAATTATAAAATAATATTTAATAACAATAGTAATTGATTATTATTAGGAAATCATACATACTTGTTTTGTTCCCTGAAAAAAAAATACTAAAACAAGAAAGTAACTAAATCGCTCTTCTGCAAACTATTTTCTTTTTGGCACAGAGACTGTCCATTCCGATATATTTTCCAATACTATCGAATCCAATAATTTTGCAAGATTTTGTGAAAACTAAAAAAAATAAGTCCCTCGAACTTCCCCTAATACTACGTAAATTATAATTAATACAAGACTAAATATTTTGTAATGCATAAAGCACAGTTGTTAGGTTTTTGCAAAGAAAAAAAAGGAGGATCTTAGCTGTGTATACTGCTAACAGTTAACAAGATGAAATACTACTTGGAGTATAACAAACTTGCATTGATATTCACCCGCGAGTGCTACAGCAACTGTTACTTCGTAGATAAATACAAATGCAAGTGTCAACTACGTAACATAAATTAAGTATAGTCGAGACACATTCCAAGTGCATTGTTTATCACATAGTATACTTGGTAGTAGTCTCTTAGCTTTCTCTATATAACTTTTGGCTACTTCACTCATACGTATATACACATACACGTACGATACGTACTGTTGTAAGATTGCCATTCATGATCGATCAATTAGCATCGATATTTCTGCAGAAACACAATCAAATTATATAATTATTTTTACATTCAGCTTTCTCAAATTGACCTTGACAAGGTTTATCTAACGGTGAAGATAACGGTATTTGTTCTTCGTTTAGAAAGAAAACAGAATAGAAAAGAAATGAGTTGAAGATTAAAAGTAATATTGGATAACTGTGAAGAAGTTACAGATAGAATAAAGTATTCGAGTGAGCTTGATGTGGTTCGGCCATAAGATTTTGACCGACCAGGGACACAAGTTTGTGTGCATATTGACAAGGAGCAGGCACACGAATCGTACCGGGCCAGTTGTAATACAAGTGACAAAGTTTATACGTGAGCCGTTGCATGTGGTCCGTTTTCATATTGGACGAATCATGAATAACGATGTAATGAGTGGGAGTTACCGTACCCTGCCGCACATTTTGCGGCACGAGAAAGAAGTCGTAATGATTTCGCCTCGTTATGCAAGAATCGACAACGGTTCCTGGTCCAGGATTTTCTAAATCTCCCCTTGGCTAATTAGAAGCATTTTCAATTGTCAATTAAAAACATATATCATTAACGTAACATATTTCATAATTGTATCATATAAATTCTAACGTAATACTCACTCCTTTGACGAATAGCCGCGTATTGATACGCTTTTGAACGATAATTACGCTGAGTTGTGGCTTATAACCGGGCGCAATGCGATTAAATGTCGACAATAGCTGCTTTACTTCATACTTTTCGACATAATCCAGGTCTCCGTCACCAACTCCATCGCGATATATCATTATACGCTCTGGATTACATCCGTTGTGCTGATAACATTATTGTCACGAATCAATGATAAAAAGAAATTCTTTAAAAGATGCGCAATGCATTAAATACCTTGTAATATGCACCAATAGCCGAAGTAAGGCACACTTGGAGCATGTCCATCAATTCTTGCTTAGAGGCCTGCATGCAAACTTTGCTATGCCATTTGCTCAATTGCGCATCTAAAGAAGCGACAAATCCCGCAACACTTTTTTTTGAACCGCTTCCTGTACCAGCGTGATAAACGTCTATACCGCAGATCATAACGTTTTGCTGTTGCGTAATCATAGAATTTGTCGAATAAGAAAAAAAAGACGAATATAAATAACAGTATATGATAAAGGATAAGCTTTCTATTTACCAACGGCAGAGTTACGGTCCAAAGTGCTCCTCCTAATTTGCAATTTATTTGAAGTGCTATCTTTTCTGTGACACTTTTCAATTTAGGAGGCTTATCAATTGTTTTTGAGATGATTACTTGCGATGGTACAGCTTTCTGTACACAGCACAGTCTGAAATATAAAAAGAAAAGTAAAAAAAAACACTTTTCTAGACTTTACCGTCAATTATTGTTACATGAATAAATAAATTTCCAAAATGCATAATATTCGAAATGTTCAAGATACACTCGATTCTAAATTAATATACTTGAACAATATACAGGGTGTCTCATTTTAAATGATCCACGGAAATGTCTAAAAAAAAATATGAAAGATACGGAAAAACGTTTCCAACAAAAGTTGTTTGGTTCGAAGGGGGGCATAAGGCGGTGTCATTGACTTGACCTTGGATAGATTTGAAGGTCACGTAAAGGTCACCTTTAATTTTTTAAATGGAACCCCCTATTGTTTATTATACCATCTTATTCTACTAATTAATATGAACAACTTTTGTCTGAAACATTTTTGATTTACCTAATACTTTTTGAGATATTCAAGAAAAAATTTATTAACTTTTTAATTGTTTAGCTTATTATGTCGCGATAACTGTTTGTCGGAGGGAAAAGTAGTACAAGACTTTTTTTTTTACTTGATTTAGTCTCAGGAATATGCTGTTGCAATAGTGTTCCAATTATTGAAAATTTGTGTGTAACACATAAAATTTACATAATTTTCATGTGCAAGATAAAATGATAGCGAGATCATTAAATTAAAAAAAGAAAATTATCTTACTTCTTTATTGCAGAATAGCGATCTGTGCGGTTGGTCGGAAACACGATGACTACTAATTCGGTATCATTGCTGATGCTCTTTTGAACTTCCCTCAAATAAGTATCGGTTTTGTCATCCCTTAAAGGAATCTTACAGGGATCACGAATTTGCATATTCACCGATCTTGAAACACTGTTCAGAAGCATTGCTAAGAAATCTTTTACACACGTTTCATTCCTCGTAAAGTACAAAATATGCCATACGGATAAATTAGGCTAAAATAAAAAGAAGACACTCGTTAGCGTAACAAATGTTTTCACATGATCGTTCACCATGTGTCAGTCTTTTAATTCTCGAGTAATTGTTATTGAACATACTCACAGCGCGTAACATGGGATTTTTTACTGCGGCAGCACTCCAGTCTGCAGGTCTATCATTTGACTGATACGTCTTGTTTCCTCCAAAACGTATAGTCTCCGGGCCGAGTTTTCGTGCACTAAATTGAACTATATCCCGACTTAAACTTAAACCCCATTCTGCTAATATTTGCCGAGGTATTTCATTCTTTTCCACCTCTTCTATAAATCGCAGAATCACCTGTCGTCGTTGGACAGGCGACATTTTCGTAACGACGCTCAAGTCTTTCATTGTAGAATAATTATTGCGAATATTATCAGTAAGACCTGCTGCATAGCTCAATTCCGGTACCAGAAGAATTACTTTTTCCTCCTTCTATTGTATTCAAACGATTTTTTTGGTGGCAATAATGAATTTCAAGTGACATGGTCAACAGTATCGTATCAATAATAATATGTATGAATATAAATCCACGAACCTCGCCAGTTGGTGTCCTAACTGTATCGCGATGTACTAAAAGCGGCTGATTATCGTCTTCGATCTTAATATTCCACTGCGACATGTAATAATCGATCAAAGATATTTCTTTATCACCTTTAAGGAACTTATATTTTGGTGTCTTGTCCCACGCAATATCGTCTATACGATATGTCCTATTATTATATCGCGTCAGTACACTCGTACCAACTATCTCACTTATTACAGCATCTTTATAATTATGTCTTGATTTGTTATAAATCTCTCCTCTGAAAGATAATTACACACAAACTTAACTTGACCAACTGTAAATTATTCAATAGCGATTTCGTAATACAACGTAATGCTGGAGAGAAGAAAACATATCTTACATTAAATCTCGTACAGTCTCTGTCCGCATCACTCGATGTCTAGCATCTAAACACAATTTTACACCACCCTCGTACTCATTTACGGCAGTAACGTAACCAGGCCACACTTCTAATCGATGTTGATGCAAAACGTGCGCACATTTTGGGTTGAAATTTTGTCGACCAATACGAACTAAATTGAGAGAGCGCATGATGCGATTAAACAAAATGTTGAAAAATTGAATATTATCACTCATCGATTGTTTTTTTTTGAAAATAATTGTAAGAGTTATTTCCGAGCCGTCCATTGGATGTTCCGATTTGTAATGCGAAATCTGTAAGTTTGATCATTTTTAAGTAATATTATGTACGCATTGCATTAGTACTGATTGTATAGTTTAAACTCACGGTCTGTGGCAATCTTGTTGGTAAAAACATGATTGCCCCATCAAACGTTTTTCGTCCTAAAGCAACAGAGTGTTGATTAAGTAGCTTGCGACGTAAGCCTATTGAATCTATGTCCGGCGAAAATTTAACCTCGTATTGAAATAGACCTTTCTCAGGATCCATTTTCAGATCTATATAATTGGCGAACATGGTTACTCTACAAAAGAAAACAATCTTTATTAATTATTCCTGTTATTAAATTATAGTAATACATCCATCCCTCTCTCGACACACGACAGCGATAGTTTTATTTTTATGCTATTAAAAAACAGAGATATAAGAACAGAGTGCGTGAGTGAGATAAAAAAAGCGCTATAGTAATGGTAAGAGAAAGTTGCAAAAAGGCCCCTTCTGTTTTTATCTTTGCCAGTCTTTGCGCATGTGCAAACATAAGAAGACTGATCTCTGTACTGAGGCACATGTGCGACTGAGAAGGGTAGAAGGGGCCTAGAGACCCTGTAATCAGAGACTGGCCATACGTGAGATCGTCAAGTTCCTGGCTAAACGATTCTTACGATCGTAGAAGAGTGAGATAGCTTATGTTTCTCTCACTCGCAGGAATTTGACGACCCGTCTTATGGCCAGTCTCTGATTACAGGGTCTCTAAAGGGGCCTCCTGCAGCGCTCCTTTTTTATACCTATATTGCAGTCGCTTACGCGTTAGCACTACTCGCGCACTATATTCTTATATCTCTACGATTAAAACCGACCGACATAAAGATCGTATATTTTTTTTAATTTGTCTACATCGTGCAATTTATACAACTCAAGTTGATTAAAAAAAACTTATCTAAGTAGATCAAGAGAAGGACGTGCGTTCTTAAAACTGTAAACTGTAAATTACTTCGTTCCACTTTCGCCTTGTCGACATATAGGCGCGACTTCTTCCGAAGACGGTAGCTCGGATGCAGGCGGATTATCATAGACGGAGATGTCAGCCAGTCTTCCTAAAACTCCCTCAGAATCATCCTTTTCAGCAATTTCTTGCGCAGAAGTACCTGGTTTGCTAGAATTAAAAAGAACATTGAATATTGGGCTTTATAAACATTCGTATATGTAACTCAGAGATTGCTAAACTTGCCACTCACCCAAGTTTCTTTATCATGGTTGCGAGAGAGCCTCGACCGTGACTCATTGCTGTGGAGGATTCCCTGGAATCCGAGTCACTGCTACTCATTGATCTTAACATACTAACTAATTGCGCACGTCCGCGACCTGAACTACTACTTGAGCTGCCTAAGCTTGGAGAGCTTAAATATCCTGATGTCTGTACATTTTGCGCTGATGTCTGTTGCGCTGATGTCTGTTGCGCTTCCCTCATCATCTCTAACAGGGCACTACCGCGTCCTCTCCCGGTACCCTTGTTATTGTTATCCATTTTGAAAAGAATGCGTTCTGCAATTTAGAGAAGAGACATAAAATTAGATGTCAATACTCTCGTACATCAATATCACAAGTACATAGAAATTTGATTACTTCACTTATTATTTGAATGTTCGCGATTCTTTTTCGGATAATAAACAGAAAAATAGATATACCGGAATATTAGTTTCTATTTAGAAAATAAAATAATTTTGCGTTACTTCGGATATCCAAACGTATGAACATAAAACTTTTACGTCCACGTTATTTTAAACAAATTGGAAATTTTGTTTGCAGATAAATGTAACATCATTCATGTTCTACAATATTTTTTGCGACTATTTTAACACGCCGAAGTCTAAGTTATTATAGAGACTTAGGCACGGTTTCTTATTTGCTGGTTAAATGTTAACGAGAAAATGTCTGTTCTTATTTCAAGACCGTCTGAGAGCCTTAGCATAATGGTTGAATACTTTCAAAATAATGTTTTCTGCTCGAAGCCGGCGATTTTCAACCAGTGTGCCGCAAGAAGTTTTAAAACGCGCAATACCTACTGTTTAGTCAGGGGCACTGATCTCTTTTCCCTTAGTTTGTCAAATCAACAAGGTAATCACTATTATTCTTCCTTTGTTTGCCGATCAATCAAAATTATACCTATTTTTTGTCAAATCGGCAAAACATACATGTATGTTTTATGTCGCAGAAGTTTAGTTTGTGTAACATGAGATGAAAAAGAGCGACAAGCACTGCCCTAAGTCTTTGTTTTGAACAGAGTTAAAGTAGGACTCTCATATTCAAACTAAACAACACACAAGAATAGCCAATGCGAGTCTAAGGCAGGATGTAGATAGCCTATACTTGTAATTTATTAAAATGTGAATTCATATACAGTTTCTTTCCACATTTGTCCTGCGCGCCGGTTTCTTTTTGGACGTAACGCAGTTTTCTTACAGGTGCAGTTATTATTGTCAGCAAATTCTTTGTTTTAAGTAACGCACAATAGCCGTCTTGTGTTTCCAATCTTAAATATGTATACGAAAACAACGTTTGCAAAGAATAAATTAATTAAAGATACAAAAGTAATAATTTTACGACTATTAATAATTGATAAACGTTCTATAAATATTGTCTTAAAATTACAAATCAGCCATTTCCGCTAAAGCGCTTAGAACGGCCCTAAATATAAGAGCGAAGTATGCCGAAAACCCGTGTGCAGTGCGCGCGCATGTGTGTGCATGCATGCGCGTGTTTGCGTATCGCTAGCTTTTATCTCAAGATCCCAAAGCGTCAAATGTTTCCCCTCGACTTTTCCTCGAAAATAAACACTTCTTTCGCTGCGACGCCGTAAATTTCAGCGCTTCCATCGCCCTCTTATACATATGTCAATCGTTAAGTTCTAGTCTTTCTTTCTTCGCCGGAAGTTGTTTTAACGGCAATATTTATTCCTCTCGAAAAACAGTAAGGAGAAAATGGGGTCGAATTCGATTCGAAGTTTCATCCAATTAATGTACAACATAGGGTGCGGTCAAGCTGCCGCTATAAATGCTCTGAAGCGTTTCTCCTCTCTTTTTTCTATCTTTACTGAAAGAAAAGAGAAGAATACTTCGTAACATTCGAAGCGATAGATAAAGTGACAGCAGTGTCATGAAACTTCTTCCTTGGTTTATTTAAATCTAATTTACAATGTGCTCTCTGTGTCTAGAAATGTTCTATTTTGTAGCCGACAAATAAGTTTAAAAAATTTGTACAAGTTGACAAATTGTAAATTATACATTGTATAATTGTGCATTGTCGACAAATTTTTTAAGCGTCTACTAGATTTCCAACCTTTGCAACCAGACTTTCTCCCGCGTAACATACACGGAGGGAGCTTTCTCTTAAAATTTATCCTGAAAATCATATAATCGTAAGACAACATGGAATTTGAAAGAATTTTATGAGTATCTTGAAATTTTACCATACATTTTACTAGTAATTATACTCAGTATGCATTTTACTGATAAAATGTATGGTAAAATTTCAAAAAACTCGCATAAAATTCTTCAAAATGCCGAGTTGTCTCAAGATTACGTGCTTTTCAGGATAAATTTTGAAGGAAAATTCTCTCCATGTACATGCGTCAAGAGTATCTTCCCATACAGCACCAAAGCTTTCAAAAACATTTCAGAGAACATTGTTGCAATGTTTCTGAAATGTTTCTGAAAGCTTTGGTGCTGTATGGGTTCTTACCATAACGGAAATCACTTTGTCGAAAAATGTTTTACAAAAATAATAACCGAAAGTTCTTCTTCCTCGTGTATTAGACTTAAAGCCTGTTTTATTCAGTTCGTTCTGGTACTTTGAGCATTTGGTTTTACTTTATCTTCGGTAGACTGCTAACCTTGCCGTAGGAAACCTCTCATCTGGAATGGCTATACCCTTGAAGGGGTATGCGTGGCAAGATACTTTCGGTTGCCACTTCCCTTTGGGAGATCCCCCAAAAAAACCCCCCAGCGACTGATCCCTTTCGCAAGGTCGTATCTTGTTCCGGCCCAAAATGAGCGTTCACGCACAAAAACCAGAAATTGCGTAACATCAAGGTACGGCCTTACGAAAGAAATTGGTCGACTCTGTATAACCTCGACCTTCCTTGCGTTTCTAACCATGGTATTCATAGTCGTTCCTCAATTCTCAAGGGTAGTTTGTCTTTGTCTCGCGTATGGTAAAACGTAGTAGCGAGACAAAGACAGACTAACCTTGAGAATTGAGGAACGACTATGAATACGGATATAAATGATCCTACTTTTCTCTCCCAAGATAAATTCGCTCATTTCCCATGCTACACTAACGTTACGTTCGTAAAGCGTTCTCGGGCAGAGAACAATTGTTGCAATAAAAAAAAGAACTGTATACTTGGCTGCCCCTTTTCTTTCACATCTCCCATATGTTTTCAGGTAGTTCCAGCTTCTCCACGTGAAGCGAGTTCTTTTTTTTCACGCCGTTAATTTGCAGGCCCGGTCCACAATGAGTTGCTAGTCGTTAGTCAGAAGTCGGAACGATATGTCGGTCCTGTTTCTTCCATCCAGGACATACAGTTCCGACCCCTGACTAGGGTCCGGTCTCACCAAACGTCGCTCGACTTGAGTCTCGGTTTAACTCGCGTTTGTCGCCTTCTAAAATAACAGCTGGAAAGAGACCAAGAACGAATTAAACTTGAAGTTAATCGACGTTGGCGAAACCAGAGCTAACTCGTAGACCGGGTCATAGGGCGACTCTTCTGAAATAATACGAGAAACGCGACATTAGTGGCCTTTTTCGGAAATTTCACTGGTCAATTCCGTATGCAGTCGCGCACCGAGCGTGCGATCACAATCCAGGGGTCAATTCTGTATCACACCATAGTGAAAATGCTAAGACAGAATGGGCTTTGTCTCTTTCCAACGTCCCCTTCGAAGGAGATAAAGCCGCTCGCTTCCAGCATCCTCACTGTATTGTACGATAGAGTTGAGCCCCCAGCCCCAAGGCCGCCGTGCCTCGGCGATAAGATACCGCTGTACAATGTATCCTTTACGTACACGCTACTTTGATCCTTTCCCACGCGTATTCGTTACGCGGCTACGCGAGATCCCAGTGCCGCAGCGAGACCGCGAGTGGGCTTCTTCCTTCTTCTCTGGTTATTGGCTCCCGGCTCACAGACACTGAGCCGACACGGCCACGTCGAACCAATAGACTTATTGCTTGGACTGTAGTGAATTGAACGATGCAATGGCCCGGTAACGCGAGGGATGATGCAATCCCGCAGGATCAAAAACTTATCTTCCGTCGGAAGACGTGTGAACCGCTCGACGGCCCAGACGGAACTTTTACCGCGAGTGGGCGCGCGAGAGAGAGAGAGAGACACACACACACACACAGACCACCGAATCCCTCGCGATCGAAGAGCCGCCGTACAAAAGTCTGCCGTTAAAACGCGACCGGCGAACTGCACGTGCGTGCACGAGGCGCGACGAACGAAACGCCGAGGAGCGGTGCTCGAGATCCTTCCACCGCGGGATTCCGGGGCTTCCGAGAAAAGTCGACAGAACGAATCCGTAAGAAACTCGAACCGCCGAATGTGCCCTCCCCCCTCCTCTGACTCTCCCCCTCCCCCTCGCCCGTCCCCGTAGCAAAAGAAAAGCGTGGAACTGGAAACCAGCAGTCGTCGCGGAAAAAACCGGCGAGTGGTCCGTGCTGTTCTATCCGTGGTAAAAAAAGAAAGATCTTCCGCCGAACATGGTGGATCGTTAACCTCGCGCGCGGGTCTCGCCGGCGCGGAATGTATCAAGCGCGGAGTGGTTTGTCACTTACGTTCTTCGTCAGGTGCCGCGGCGCGGTGCTGGTACCTCTAGAGCGGCGTATCTTATTAGGCTTGTCTGTACCCGCATACAGACTTTTCTTGTGCAACTCGTTCGGGACTCGGGACGCAGGACGCGGTACCCGACTGGGCCGACGAAGGGTATTGCGTTGAGAAGCGAATGGGGGTGCTCATCTACAACATAGTATAGGTCTCCCCGTCGATGATTGGACGTAGACAGCTCGACCATTCGCTCTCCGCCGAGTACTGGCGCAACCGGCGCCGGCGACGCGATTGTTCGCGTTAGCGGCCCGCGCAGGACACGTAACGGATTGAGCGCAACATACGACGGTCGCGCGATTGGTCAGTCCCTCCAGTAGCTGTCTATATGATTGCTCTCGGCCTAACCATTGGTCCGACACGGCCGCGACGAACCGATAGACGTAGAATTATATGCGCGAGTTTCAATCTATTAACACAATGCAGAGACTTAACTATTGGGCAGCGCTGGATGATGCAATCGGATGATGCAACCCCGCAGGATCGAACTGTTTCTTCCTTCTAGGTTAGAAGACGTGCTGTTCCTTCCACGTCCCAAGCGGAACTGAAATAGAAATAGATGTCCCCAGGTAGCACTAGTGCCCATTTGGTGCCTATAAGTTAACGCTTTAAGGTTGCCTTTAGGATTTTACTATACGATAACCAATGTAGGTCTTAAAGTTGGTATCTATTTTACTGTTGTCTCAAAGGTGTCTGCCGGCGTGGCTGTCAGGTTTATCTCTGAGAGAGATTATTAGAGAACATTGATAATACATACGTAAGTATAGATTATCAATTTATTATCATTTGCATTTTTAATATATACTATAATACAAAAATTCATACAGCATGTATTTTTAGGTTATATTGAAACATTTGCTGTACATTATTATATGTGCTCTGGAACTGTTCAGTTATTTTGAGACACTTCTGGCAGAGGACGAGGAATGTCGGCAGTGCTTTCGACAATTTCCCAGCTTGTGCACGACCCTTTTAGTGCCGATGGAGGGTATTGTCGGCGACAGTGCCAAAAGTATACAAAGTATTGTCGACCGCGACACGAACGTTGCGCGGAAGTACGGATACGTGGGAGATCTTCGATGGAATGCGATCAGCGCCGCGGAGATATTCGAGCCTGTGCTCGCTTACTGGGAAAAGCGCGTGGACAGTTGGACACCGGCAAGAGCACGCTCGAGCGTTTGCTCGACACTGGCGTCTTGCTGGAACTAATGAATTCGTACACATGAACAGAGATGAATTTTACTCCACGCACGTGTCGGTCAAGTGCAAGTTGTGCCTGGGCAAACTCTGTACAGTTAAGAGGGACATGTACAACGCCGTGGTGATGAAATGCAGATTCGTCAGTCTAGTATGTAAGTTTCCCGTTAAAACTCTGCCGGCGAAAGCGTGCGCTGTTACTAGGAAAATTATGAAGCGGAATGTCGAGTGGGTCATTCGTGAAATGAAGGAATCCGAATGTAAGCGCAGGAGACAATCGTGGAACACGTGTCGCAATTTAACTTACAACGTAGGCGTACTGTCTGAACATGTGTATGAGGAAAGCGTGTGTTTACTGTTTGTTCACCTTGTGCAGTTGCATCTCTTGACTCGACGGAGTCGAACCGAGCCCTACAGATTCTGAGAGCTTCAGGTATCTTGAGAATATTATCTCTTTCGTGCTGGACAGATTGAGCGTTGTATATTACAGCAATAATTTGTATAGAAAAGCTGCGACTGTGTGCGCATTGAATGCCTTGTTAACGTATAACCAGTTAAACACAAAAGCTTTTCGTAGATGGGTGCACATTAAGAAAACTACGCCCAAAGAAGTCGCAAGCTTAGATATGCTGGACTGCTTGACCAGTGATGAAGATGAGATAAAGAGCGAACTTGGACTTTCAATCGATATCTCTAAGTACGACGTTACTGCGTTGTGTCTGCGTAAAGTCAAAAGTTTACTGGAGGAACAGGTCGCATTTGCAAACGGCGTGGCAGCGGTTCTGAAAAAATTGAGGAAGCTACAGCCGAGTGATCAATATGCACACGGTGCAGTTATTAAGGTATTATTTCTTAGGTTTCAATTACGAGAGCTCTATTCTGGAGTACCACGAGCAAGCTATACACGATTTGAAGCAGAAAAAGTCGAACTCCGTAGCTATTCTGTGCTTGGAAGCTAATTTAAGTCTTTTTACCTTTGCAGAGAACTTGCGAGTTGGAAATAGAAAGTACAACGTTTGCTCTGTGCGCTCCCAAGCTACGAGGTCTAGTCGAGAACAAATCTCCAAATGTAGTTCCTGCTTACACTATGATAAATGTAAAAAAGGACACCAATCTTAAGTTGTATCTGCAAAACTGTTTGAAGAAGTGGAAGCAACTGTTTAGTCGCTACTTTATAAGTTGCTAGAGAGTATTTGTTGTGTCGGGCTATTATCGAAAGCTTGTAGCCCAGTAATCATGTGAACATACTTTATTGTCAATAGAAAAAAATTGTCAAGGATTGGGAGCCTAAGCTTATACTTTGCATGCTGATAACGGCCGGTGAACATGCTCGATTATATCGGTATGAAGACTGCGAGGCTGAAATATGGACATACAAGCTGGCATTAGAAATAAACGATCATACAGTTATTTATAGTATGTTAACCATTATAATAATTTAGCATTTATCGTAATTAAGAGAAGACAATGTTTCATTGATGAGTTAATATAAATCTTGTTACAGTCACGAGTCGTTGTATATCATTGAGATAAATCGATTACGATTGGATTGCCACTGCCAAGGAACATGTTGCGAAGTACAGAGATTCCAAGGACGAAGATGTAATTGCTACCATTGCTACCTTTTAGATAAGTTTAGCAGACATCTATTTTGAATGTGGAAAGGTAAGAAACTACAAATGTAACCTGAAACGTGCAAATATTTTATCTAAAATATAATGCGTATGCAAAATTTCCTGTTTTTTCATTTTTCTAGGCGCAGTTTACGATTAATTGGCATAATTATGCCCATTTGCTCATGGCACTGAACCTGGGACAGGATCATGCCCTGGTTAGATTTGCAAGAGTTATCGAGACGACGTTTGGCTGCAGAGCAAAGTATAATTTCTGCGTCACTAAAGCGATGAAGGAAGATTTGGAAAAGAAATGGACTATTCAAGCAAAAATCCTGTATGACAGACCAGCGGATGAATTTCACCCAATAACTTTGACAGAAAAAAATGAGTTTCCGCACAAATTAATTGAAAAGTACGACATATCGATACCCAGTTCACCCAGAAGATCCGGCTTTGTTATATCCAGCACTAGTTGGACCGAGGATGAAGATTTCTCAATTCTATTAAGCGCCTTATTTGAGTACGAAAACGCGTGCATAACTAGCGAGTTAAACTTGCCGGACTTGGTCTGTGCGATTACAGGCAAAGGACCGTTAAAGGACTTCTACATGGCAATCATTAATTTAACAAAGTGCAAACATATCACAATAAAGATGCCGTGGCTTGAGAATGAGGATTATCCCAAAATACTAGCTAGCGCAGACTTAGGTGTGTGCATTCATACCTATCCAGTGGACTGGATCTGCCAATGAAAGTTGGTTGACATGTTTGGCTGCCGTTTGCCAGTTTGCGCATACAATTATAATTGTTTATCAGAACTGGTCAGGCACAATGAGAACAGTTTGTCATTTACGGACGAGAAGGAACTGGCTGAGCAATTGAAAATGTGGTTTGAAGATTTCCCTAACAATAAATCATAACGGCAGTTGCGTGAAAAATTTCAAGGAAACATGTTTTGATATTTATCATATTTATAATAATAATAATAAAAGCATTTTTATTCTTTTAAATAGAGTGTATATCTATATGAGATGAGCTGCAGGTAATAAAGTTTGTTATCTGAAATATGGATGTACGTAATATGAAGTTAATAATTATCTAAAATTATTTGTATATATGTTAGGTTAGGTTAGGTTTTGTATCGCACAATTCAAATCTCATTCAAATCATAGTATTGCGTCATCCTACATTTGTACGTACGCTTTTGCTCGATTCTGTCGTTGGCTATGTCGAAATCAGCCAGAGATCGGCCGTCATTTTTAATCAAGAGGAAAAGGAAAGCTAGATTTTTGCGCAGAAAAATTGATCGTTGTACAATATATTAAATTGATACATAAAAAATAATGTATCATTCTTTTCCATTATTTTTGGAAACGTATGTGACTGTACCGTACAACATCCATATCCTTCATTTATAGCTCCCGATACTACATTATAAAAAAATAATTTATGTAGTCGAGTTTTTACATAAAATGTAAAATTTATAAAATAAAATATTTTTATTTGATTTAGAACCCCTTATAAATCAATTATTAACACTAAATGATTGATACGGTTTAACAGAATAAATACTTATTGATATAAATATTGACGCAAATGAACACTGATACAATTAGTAGGAAGATCGGGATTTAAATGTTTGAATCATAAATCAGGTGATACATTTTTTCGCAATAAATTTCTTATAGAAACATAACATTAAATTAATTATTAATTTAATAATATTACACATTCAGCGTTTTTCGCATAATATTACGTTTCAAGATCAGTTAGTAATAGACATGTGATTAAAAAACAGATACAGGTGGGCAATGTATAAAATTTACACAATTAAATATAATTCCGCTCAATGACTAAAACGTCAATAATTGTTTATTCTGATGATTACGTTTGCTTTTTTCTTTGGTTACTGTTAAAAAATCGACTGTATTAAAACATCTCGTACGGAACGGCGCTGTAATTAACATTATGTGACTATAATAACGTTTTTTTTCTATTTAAATTTAATCAGACCAATACGAGCCTAAAGCACAAACAATACATGATAATACAGTTAAATTTAGAATTAAATTACATAGTATGTTTATAAATGAGCCAATTATTTCGCACTTGCGTAAGCTTATTCATTCGCTTGATCTTTTATAATCGTAGTTTTCTTTTTCATTATTATTAATGTAAATAGTGTTCTCTTGTCATTTTTGCCTCTCATGAATTACAGTAATATTTTTTCATGTCAGTAATTTTTCTCAAAGAAGAAAATGTTTATTTAATTGCACTCCTTATGTTTTTTATTCCGCACGTCTTAAAATAATTTGTTACATATCTAAGTGCTAACAGAAATAACAATGTTAAATTATCATAATTTTACAGCATTGAAACAATTGTTCTAATGATATTTTTACTTTTTATTTACCATTTTCCGGAATATAAAAATTTTATAAAGTTAACAAACGTTATATTATATGCGATACAATTGCAGGTTTGGCAAAGAGAGAAAGAACCAGCCAAGTTACTTTTTTCAAATATAAGGAAATCAATATACATTTATATATCAAATACAATGCATTATTTAACAAATTTTATTCTCAATAATTTTGCTATATTATCTATATTCTATAATATGAAATGTTTTTTGCAAGTAATCATAAAGTAATTAATAATTTTTCTCCTTTTATTATTTGTTTATATATTTACTACTAGAAAAATCACTCAAGAAAATGAATGGTTGGTTCTTAGAACCACACCTACAGTTGTTATTAATAAAACTTTATTTATATTATATATGTATTGCATGATATACAATCCACATTTAAAATTTATATGATATTTATAATTCATTATTTACAAGAGTCACGTTATGTATAATTAATTAAAATATTCTTACAATAAACTCTAAAAAGTAAATCAAACAATAATGCACTTGCCATAAAAAAATTCAACATCTGACCGATCGAGCTATATGCACATTCTGACAAGTTAAATGGATGGCAAGAGGTCCCTTGGACTTGAGCTGACTGTTTCTTGCGCGTGACCGCGTTTCTGAGCACAAGTATGACATGTATGAGTTTACCTCTTCGAGGTAATAATGGCACTTGACACTTGCATACGTATCCTATTACAACGTGTAACACTGAAGAAGATACACTCCTAGAAGAACCCGTCAAACGCGACATAAATATAAACTTTGTAGCTCTAAAGTTTTCTCTTTAAATTTTTGCTAATATTGTCCGAAATTCATGAAAATTCTAAATTTTATCACAGTGTAGTTCCCTTCGTTTGAATCGCGATTATAAATCGCGAGATATGACAAAAAATGTAAGAATATGATAAAATGCGACTGTAATGTAATCTGTATATCACGTAGTGTATGAGAGAAGTATAAATAAATGCAGGTGTCGCCAATTATCTCGTATAAGAGATCATTATGTCCTATTACAATTTCCTGCTAGGTAGTTAAAGATGTGAATATTAAATAGAAGTCCCTTATACTTTGTTTTTGCATTAAAAATCGTTATCCCAACCGGAAGTATCATCGAGTGGTGGTGGATCAGTATCAGCCGGATAGGCGTCGAAATTTGTAGTGTCTACAGCATTTTGAACTCGTGGAAGTATTGGTGGCTCCAGAGTTCTCGTTTTCAAACCTTCCCAATTAAAGCCATCAAACCATCTGCAATTAATTAAAAAAATTAATTCGTAAAAATTAAGTGTTTCAATATTTATTCGTATCTTTAAAATGCTAAGAAATATATTTACTTGTGCTTCTGTATTTCACTGATGCCGCCTCTTTGATAGCCAAGACGTTCCGCTGGATTATCCCTGAAAACAGAGGAATCTGTATCGTTTGAGAGATACAAACGTTTAACATGGCGGTACACCGCTATGCTAAATATTTATCAAAGAATATGGGATGCACTAATACATAAAGCGTATCACAATTTACCTGCAAAGTTTCTTGATAAGCGCCGTTGCATTTCGCGTGATGGACCTGGGAAATTCTATAGCGTCGATTCCTTTTAAGATAATGTTGTACGTCTTCATTGGATCAGCGCCGGTAAAAGGAGGCGTACCCGTAAGTAATTCGAACATGAGAACGCCAAGGGACCAGTAATCGGCGCTTATATCATGACCTTTATTTAAAATGACTTCCGGTGCCACGTACTCCGGCGTACCACAAAAGGTCCACGTCTTCCTTCCGTTATCCAACCGTTTAGCAAAGCCGAAATCCACAAGTTTAACGTATCTAAAAAAAAATTATAAGACGAAATGTAAATCGCTGACAATGTGGGTATGGAGATTTGTCGATGTATTGAAAATAACAAAATATCAGTGTGTTTGTAAATTCCTTAATCTTTTTGAAACAATACATCATTATAACACATAGACGAACGTATCCTTACCCTTGATTATCCAAAAGTAAGTTTTCCGGTTTAAGATCTCGATAAATGATATTTCTGGAGTGCAGATAATCGAATGCTTCCACGACGCATGCAGTATAAAAGCGCGTAGTACCATCGTCGAAGTGTCCCTTGTCCCTGAGAACGGTCCATAACTCGCCACCCAAGCAGGCTTCCATTAGCATGTAGAGATACTTTCTGTCTTTGAAGGTCTTGAAAAGTTTGACTACAAAATCGCAATCCGCTTCGCTCATGATCCTCTTTTCCGACATAATGTGCTGTTGCTGTCGCGTCTCGACAATCTGCGCCTTCTTCATTTGCTTCAGAGCGAACGACCGTGTGCTGTCTCCGGCAATTTGAACTAATTCAACTCTTCCGAAACCACCCACGCCGAGAGTCGCAATGGTCCGAAGGTCTTGTAACCGTACATCCCGGAATTCCTCGTTTAGTCTAAAGAAATCGCGAGATTTCAATATAACACAAATCAGCTTTCTATAGAAAGTTAAATACATGTTTACAAATCGCAAATAAGTTTATTCTCCTCGCTGCTATTTGCATTCAGTTTACTGATAGTATCGGTAACTTTTATCAAGGTTATCAGCAAACTGATATATTTGTTTTTGTTTTGACATAACGTATCTATTCTGTTTTTATTGGTAAACTTACTTGGAGTGTATGGTTTATTGTCCGATCCTAATGCTAAGCGTGGAACATAATTATTACATACAATAACGAGTGTAATATATACAGCTCAGTTTATATCAATCTATCTAGAATACTTATCTATATCTCATCTAATTATCAATATCTAATTAGCTGAATCTAATTTTTATACAGTTAACAAAAGGTATAGTCACCTCCTACGTTCCACCAACTCGTCCCTGTATCGCGTTCGAATTTCGTCCAAGGATGAGATTAATTGATTAAACGTTTCGCGGTCTATTACCAAACAGCTCACTCCTTCTGGATCGTCAGCGATAATATTAGCAGTTCTGAGATCATCTCTATAAGAATATGAAATAAATTAACATATATTTGTATTAATCTTGCTGAATTTATAGTGCGCGTTTTTTTTAATATTTTATCGAAAAACATTGACACAAGATAAATTTACTGAAAGTGAGTTACAAAGTGATGTTGATTTTTAATCCTTTGGCAACAAGAGAGAATATCACACGAAAGTTGAAAATGATAATATTAATTACACTCACCCTTGCAGAGCCTTCTCGCCGAAGAAGTCGCCCTTTCTTAAAGTTCTAATGTACTTCTCGTCCGTTGTGTCGGGCTGCTTTATTGTTACGCGTACTTGTCCCCTACTGATGATGAAGAATGTATCCCCCCTCGCGCCTTGCCTTACTATATAATCCCCATTGTTGTAAAACGTCTGTAAAATTAATCACAATTATATAATCTAGATATAGCAAAAGTATATGTATAGCAAAAAAAAGAAATATATATCTTGTCAACTCGTACCTCCTCTAAGACGTCCGAAATTTTTATTAGAGTTTCCTCGGGCAGGTTTTTGAAAATTGGCACGCTGAAACGTTAAACCACACGTCAGTTCTAAAGTATACAACGTAAGACTATTTCAATTACAAGTTTTCACTAGGCTATTACAAGTTTTTATTAGACTTGCGAATAGGTTATTACGCGCAATGCTATCATTTCTCTTGACGAGAAATCGCTATAATTCCCAATCGCAGATATTACGCAAGGAAATAAAATATTATCCGGATAACAAAATATTGACGCGTTACATTATTCGATTGGATACACGAAAGTACGTGAATTCGCATGGAATAATCTTTTAATAGTGTCTTATTAAAATAATTTGCGATAATTTTGCTGCAAACTGGATCGTTAAGTACACGCTGGGTGACATTCGTATTTTACCATCTGTCGCGTTAAAATTATTACCACCACTATTCTTCGTGACAATTATGTCAATCATGTCACATAAAAATATGAAAATCGATTACACAGAGCCGCATTATCGATCATTAAAATAACATCCGCGTGATTAATAGGCGAGTTTTGCACGTCGGAATAAAAGAAAGAGTTACCTGGCCTTATCAGAAACGTGACTTTCATAAATGCAGTTGAAAAATTTTCCAAATCGATCGTTGCCGTATCTTGAAGGATGAAGTTGCAGATATTTTGTACAATGCAAACGCGGGACTTTACATTGCTATTGCAACGGCAATGAAAAGTAAAATCTGCTATTGAAGGAATATTCAACAATTCCGAGAGTGTGAAAAGACTAAAATAACGATATGATTTTTGTCAAAAAAGTAGTGTTAGTTTAAAATCTAAACAATTGTACCGCGAATTTTTGTTCAAGATAATATCTATATCAAAAGACAACGATCAAAATTTATCAGGATAGGAGAGCATTCATTTACTCAGGTCAGCATTTGACAATGTCAGGTCGACGTCCATCAGGATGATGAAAGAAAGAAGAAGTTATCGCTGGATTACCTCTTTAAGAAGTCCGTGTATTCGGCCTGCCTCGAGAGGCCGGTCCTCATCATAATGGTTTGGAAGCATGGCCGGTCGATGGCCCATAATTGGCAATCAGTCGCAGCAGTGATCGTCGCTGTCCTCTTGCAATTGTAAAGAATCGCGAGCTCACCCAGCACCTTGCCGTGTTGCAACGTGCTCAGATATTTACCGTCCCTCGACACCTCGACCTTACCCTCTGGAAAAGAATTTCAATCAGGGATCAGAGATATCTCTCTTGTCGTACGATGACTGAGAATGTTATTGACACGAATTTCATATCATTTAAATACCGAGGGATCTGCAATCGTTTATCTCAAGAATTCGTCAATTTAATATTACATTTTGATTTTATCGTTTTCTTTTTCGCACGTCGATTTTATCATCTTGATTTTATCGTTTTATATCGTATCCGTTTACGCAAAAATGCCATTTGAGCGTTTTGATCGCGTTTCCACTTTATTTGCGAAAAATTTAACGATTATTATTAAAATTGTTGAATTTTCTCATTCGGCTTCTGTAATTACTAGGGAAGACTGAAGTTATATTGCTCTCAAATGCATGTTATTCAGCAGACCGGAACAAAATTCTGGGACGGAAAAGTCGGCAGTCTATCCTCTCTCCAAAACCAGTATTAAGATTAATTAGTATTAAAATTACTTGGGTGTTAAAATTAATTCGTATCCTAAGAGTTGAGCCAGCCGTCGAGTACAGCGATCGGCGTGCTCGATGAAACTGGAAACTGACACGTAAAACGGTAGGCTCTTATCAAGATACGTCGACGGACTGTGTCTCAGAAATGTTCCAACTCACGCTTGATTTCTTTGCCATCTGGAACACGTTTCGAATATTAATAATAAATTTTTCACGCGCAAGTCCGGTGACATACTCCTGACGGTCCACTGACATTTCTAAATCGATCAAGTGACCGTCGTTATTTTTTCCGTGCGCGCTCAGTGCCCCCTTTTTTTTTCATCGAGAGAACCCGACGACGCCCCGAGAGGGAGTGAAATTACCTCGAATAGCGTTAAGGGCCAGTTTCACAAACGTCGGTTAACTGCTAACCGAAGGTTAATTGATCCGCTGTCTCTTCTTAAATAATAAGATGAAAAAAGATAGGGAGTCGACTGAACCCTAGTTAACAGTTAACCGATGTTTGTGAAACTGGCCCTAAGTCACGACAATCATAGACTGCTATGCAATTACATGCCGCTTCGAGATCATGTTATATTCTCCGCTAACATCTTTCTCATTTATATTCGACGCTTGGCGATTTGTAGTCCTTTTCGTTTGAAAAGCATTACCTCCCCACATTTCCATCTTGGGATCTCTGTTTTTTAATCAGGAAATTATTAAAATCGCGGCCGCGAGTCGCGAGGACGTCCTATGGGAATCGTTGTCGCATGTATAACAACGTAATGACTTTCAATAACTTAAGTTCTCATAATCTGCGTTGAAGATGTGAGATGTAACCGTTATATCGTATCTTTCCTTCCAAGTAGAATACACGAATTAACACTTTGACAAGCGTAAATTACGTTCTATAAATGCAACTTTAATCGCGCGATCTGACATGATTTTACAACGCGACATCACGCATCCTTGCGCGCCAATCGCGAGGGCAATGCGACTCTCCTTCGCGAAGCGATCCACGACGGCGCTAATGAGTTGAATCAATTGAAGGAGGATCTATGCGGATTACGCAAGTCCTCCCTTTTCTTTCCCTCTGTTTTTTTTTTTTTAATTAATTGCCGTATCGTCCGCCGGGGACTCGATCGAGCTCGACATTGCGACAGGACAGTCCACGGCCGCGCCATTGTCCCGCGAGCGTTGCTTTCACTTCCTCGGCGCGTAACGCCTAAGTGCGAGTCACACTAAAGGACCTCGGACCGGTTCCGTTACTCGATCCGTGACTCGCGCGAGATGGATCGTGTCTTTCCCCATCGACGTTTAACCGGCGCAGTTAAGCGGCGGCTATTAATAAGCACGCGCGTCGGCATGCTCCCGACACGCGGAGAATGCCCCGGCGCGATGTCCCATTTGATTCCGCTCCGCGCGCATTCGCCAGCGGCAGTTTCCCTTTGAGACAACGCGTCGGCGCATGGCGGTCCTGCGGCCCATGCGCGCGTTATGAATGAGTCACGAGATACAGTTGGACCTCCGTGTTCTTAACTCGTCGGTGGACCGAGCGCGATTTCTCTATTCTACGGGGCCTCCGCTATTTCCTCGCCGCGGCCGCGGTGTCTACTGTCCGGGAATCAATTCTCTCCTTTGCGTCACGTGTATCGACAGAAATCATCAAGATCGAGGGATAAACCCGAGGGGGGAAACCGTTGACCAAAGTCTTGTACAGCAATGCCAAGTGGACATTACTTTATCTTATTATATCTTTACAATGCCCCAACGAGGCCTAATGCCCAAAAAATGCCTAGTAATGCCCGGAAATCTGTACACCACAATGCCCTCAGCATTGCTCTTTTTTTCTATTATCCCACAGTCGACGCGCGTACGATTCAATAAATATTACGCGTATACGATTCAGCGCGTATCTCACGTTTTCACCGGATAATGGAACTTGCGACGGTAGTCGGTTGATCGTCGATCTACAAACCGGGAAGAAAGTCTCGTCGGAAAAGCCCCTCGGGAGGGCCTTTAAGGAAAAGTACATTTGTTCGGCCGCGAGACGAGAAGGAAACCATTCTCATGGAAGTAGGTCAATATGTTGCCTGTTTTACAGAGTCCATTCTTGTTAGTGCACATTCGCGAAGTTGCACGAATTTGCATATGCGATAAGAGCACATATAATAGAGGCTGATACGATCGCTTCTGTATTAACGATTGCACGCCCTAAATTCACAACAATGGGCCCCCAAGATGTGCGAACTCGCGTGTTACTTCGACGATGACTATCGCGGGGATACGTGTCGGTCGGTTTAATTACGGCTAAAGCCCACTTTAGGCAATCTATAATTACGTACGAAAATTAGCTACATGCAATAATGTTCGCTAACAAGTTTCGACGTTTTATCTGTTTTTTTTTTTAATGCGACCGTACACCGGTTCGCAGACGTCTGACGTATACTATGAAATTTTTTACAATGTTAATTATGTTTCCCTCCGAACGTTCACAATATGAAATGCATTTGTCAAACTAATTATTCTTTTATAAAACGCTTGTGGTGTGTGAACTGTGTTTTACATGCTTTTACATTAATTTTTACCTACAAAATTGCACAGCAATGTCTAAATTTTCTAATAAGTAATTTTCGTAACGAAAAATAAGTGAATAATGTAGAATTCTTATTTTTAATGTTATATGTATTTTGTATTTTATATGTAAAAAGTATCGTGCGCATTTAATAATATTGCATTGCAGGCAATAATAAAACCGAATTAAATTATAAAAAATAAAACTGATCGAGCGAACTCGAACGTCGCCAGCGAAGTACAATCAAAATGTACGCGCTCGCCGCGCTCGTTGCTTGTGGTGGTTAAGTTTCGGTAGTTATAGGTACACGTGGCCGCATGCTCAACTTTAACTTGCAAATTTCTCAAAAACGAGGGCCCATCCACTCTAACCCTTCGACACTTTTCATAGACTCGGTATCCTCCTTCGAGTGGACTGTGTCTCGTCTCGAAATCGATTTCGCAATTCTTGCCAACTTCTCGTAAGATTTCGTTCTTGATAGAGGCGCGACGTTCCCATAAAATTCAACGGGTATGAAAATGCCGGAAAACTGTGTTATAAAATCGCTTGTCCAGAATGCGTAACTGCAAGAAAGCCTGCAGAACTTGGAAAATGTCGATAGTGCTCGCGTGCGCGTATCGCCATTACGAACTTTGGAAAGTGTGCATAATTGCGGTGCTAACGAAGAACAATCGCGGGGATTTTGATGATTTTGAATCGCGTGCGGCGAAACGATCGTAGGATGCCGGCGATTGAGCCGCACATAGTTCAACAATCGGTTACGAAAGTTCCTTGCAATCACAAAACGTGATACTAGATTAAATAAGCAGAGGTAAAGAGACTCGGGGTAAGATTTACGAGCTACGAATACGCGACGCGTAGCGGTTGCTGTCCCGTTTGAAGAGTCAAATGTTACAAATATTTAATAACCATTCCCGTTTCTCGCAAGATTACCGCTAAATATCAATAAATGCAGGCTCGGCGCGAGCACCTTGGATTATTTATCGCCCACGTCATCCTAGAAGTTACAAAAATTAATTCGACAAATAACGTCTCCCTCGTTAATGTCAGTTATCTTGCGTAAAACGTATTGTGCGCTCTCTCCTTCTCTCTGCCTCTCTCGTGTGCGACTCGCACAATGGAAAAACCTTTCGATCCGACGCGGACGCCACGAGAATAGAAACGTCCGAGTTTGAATGCCGCTTCGAGAATCGGAGCCGAACATCAGCAAAGTCATACCTCCCCTTGCATGACTGTTCCGTTTAATCTTCGCGGATAACGCGCGTCGCTATTCACATAGCGTATAGATAATTATGTAACTACGCTGCGAAAGTCGAGAGAGCTGTCCTTCGCACGCGCCTTTATCACTTTCGCGAGAAACAAAATGACCAGCCGGCCGATCGGTTGCGAAAGAAGGAAACAATAAAACTCGCGCGCGTTCTCTCGCGGCGGAGGCTCCGCTTGTATCAAGGCGCGGATGTTCCTGACGTGTCGTATCGTTTCGCCAAAACAACTGATTATGCGAATCGTTTGTTTAGCAAATATTCAACATCGCGCCGAGCACATTTTATAAGCCGCGAATCGTCGATCTCCGATGACTGCATCGTATTTATAATTCAGCGACAGCGTTGTCGCGCTGTCGGCTATATAAATCAAGATATCGAAAAAATTGCAATAGCAAAAGTACGTTTCTCTATCGTCATCGTGGATCCCTCGTGAGTTACATTTTTTTAATTATTTCTTCAAAATATTTTTACTACACGGGGGGAATTTTCTCTTAAGGGGTTACAACACTCTAGAGCTCCCCAAAAAAGAAGCCAATTTTCGGTGATTTTTTTCAGGAATATAATAAACGTAAATAAAAGTCTGTTTAATCCGTGTTATTCTCTATGCATTGAAGTGTAAAAAGAATTTTTTAGAAATTTTCCTTCTACAATAGTTAGAGGTGGATCGCCAGTGAGTGAAAAACCAACAATAATGGATTATATCGACGGTAACTGGCAAAATGTATT